TTTGCAAATAAACTTTTTCTTTGCTAGTCTAATGCTTTTCTTGTTGCTGCTTCTTTTTGTTTAGAGCTATTTGAGGTATTTTTTATTGATAATTTTGCTAAAATCTTCTTTTTTCTTTAGCTGTTTTTTGTATCCGAATGATCGATGGGAAGAGTTCTGATTCATTAAATTTTTTTTATTTTTTTATTTAATTTTAAATCTGTTTCTTTTTTAATTAAAATTTTGAATATTATATCAAGAAAATGTTGTTTAGTTATTGTTCTTGTATTTATAAAGAAGTTATCTTTTTCAGCTTTTATGTTATATTTATTAATTATTAATGGATCTGGATATTTGATAATATTATTTAATATTAAGCTTTTTAGATAACTAATTTCTTTATCAGTGTTAAATATGATGGCTTTATATAATTTTAAAATTTCTTTAATATTTATTGTTATATCAAAAGTTTGATAACCTTGCTTTATAAAAAATAATTGTGTTTTAGAAATTATCATGTTGATATCTTCTCTTATTTTTTTCATTCTTCTTGGTGCTTGTTTTTGTCTTTTTATTATCTGTCATCTCATCTAAGTCATCTTTTTCTAATATTTTATCAATTTTGTTCAAATATGTTTAATTTTTAACTAGTAGTCTAATTTTTTTAAAAAAAATTTATTCATTATCATTTGGTTTAATCATTTTACTAAAAGTTATCACATCATTTTCTTGATCAAATATTTCTTTTATTATTTTGTATAAATAGTTTTTCTTAATTATATTATTAACAAATTCATTCACATCTTTAATTTCATATATTGAATGAAATTGTTTATTTAATTTATTAATAAAGTATTGATCTTGTTCTTTGTCTTTGTAAATTTCAGCAGTTCTTGTTCAAAGATTCTGTAGAATATCTTTTTCATTTGAGTCTGCCAATTTATTAATTTTATTATCAAAATAATCACTATTTAATAATGTTTTAATATAATCATTATAAGAAAATTTTTGTATGTAACCTAAAAGCAGTTCTTGTATCAAACATGATACTTTGTTTTTATATTTTGTTTTTTCATCAAATAGTGACTTGAAAGCATCATTTATATTATTTATTTTTTTTTATTTAATATGATTCTTTTTTTTAATAATAGTTGTTTTTTTAAATCTTACAATTGTTCTACAGTATGTGGTGAGTTCAAAAAAGATTGTTTCAAAGTTTGTATTAATAAATTATACTTTTTACCATCTTTGAATGATTGTTTATCATTATCTTCATTCATTTTGCTTTCAATAGTATCATATAATAGAGTATTATATCTACATTTTCTCAAGTTAACTAAATTATTTTTATTTTGATTATTATTCATCAGTATTTGATTTAATCCATTAATATTATTTGCAAGAATATTATTATTTAACAGTAGAGCAACTTGTCTATTATTATAAAAGTTTGCAATTTGTTTTCCATATTTATCATATCTTTCTATTTTAATTTCTTTTCATATTAGTTAATATCATCCTCTTCATTGTTGTTGCAATGTGTCAACATCTCTATCTTCTGAAAGATTTTCATTTTTCAGTTCTCAAATTTCAGTATCTATACATCTACTATTATCTAATAAAAATGTAGAATTAGTATTAAGAATTTCTTTACTTATTTTATCATATTGTTTATTTGATAGTGTTTTTAATCTTTTACTATATTGTATGTTTAAAGTAATTTTTTGTTGCTCATTCAAATTTTTACTATCTTGAATTTCTCTAAACCAATATCTATTTACTTCTAATAGTAGTATATGATTTTTATTTTGTATACTATTCATAATACGATTGAAATTATTTGTTTCAGGCTATGATTGTTTTAATTCTCTAATACATTCTTCTCTAAGATCATTAAGTTTTTTTTTATCAGCAGTTTCTAATTTAGATTTAGCAATTTCTTTTAACCAAAAATTTTTTAATCTTTCTATATCAGTTTCATCTTGAATTCCTTGTTGAATTCTATTAAATTCTGCATTGTAATTAACTAAAAAATTCAATCTATCTTTTCTTATTTTTTGAAGTTCTTCTTTTAATCTATCAGTTAGATTTTGATTACCAGTAATTTGCATATACTAGAATTAAAAGTCTCTTAATCAATTAATTTCAGTTTTTTTTTTAATTCCATTCTTTATCTCATTATATCTGATAACTATTCTTTCTTGATTGATATGTATTGTTTGTAATTCACTTTTTTGTTTAGATTTGAACTTTGTATTTTATTATCTAAACTTTCACTTTCTTTCAATTTTTTAAGATCAAATGTTTCTTGAATCTTTTTTTTAAGTTTGGAAAATACATTATCACTTTGTTAAAATTGAATAGCTGCTATTCCTGAAAGAAAAAATTCTAAAATTTCATTATCTTTAGTTGGTTTAGATTTTGGAACAATTAATTTTTAATAATTGCAATTTTGAAACTTGTTTATTTTACATTTGACTTTCATTTTTACTTAAAGTTAAAAAAAATATCATATAATTTCTTTATTTATATAAAATTTAGAAAATAATTAAAGCTATAAAAAAATTATTTAAATCAAACAAATACATTAATTTTATTTTATAGTTTATTAAATTTAACATAAATTCAAATAGCAAAAATTCATTTAATAATTTGAATTTTAACAAAAAGATCTAAACAATAATTGATTTGAACAAATACATCAATTTTATTCTATTATTTGAATTAGCATAAATTTAGATAGCAAAAATTTATTTAATGTAAATGATCTATTATTTTATTTAAACAATTAATTTAAACAAATACATCAATTTTATTTTATTGTTTGAATTAACATGAATTTAAATAGCAAAAATTTATTTAATGTAAATGATCTATTAATTCATCTAAACATTATTTAATTTTAAACAAATACATCAATTTTTATTTATAATTGAATCAATTTTAATATGAATTTAAATAACAAAAATTCATTTAATAATTAAATTTAAACAAAAGATCTATTAATCCATCTCATTGTTTAATTTTTATATTAACATGAATTTAAATAGCAAAATTCATTTAATGATAAATATTTTAATAAAGATTATCAAAATAATGATATAAATATTTATATTGATTTTATTTTATAAATATACCTAATTTAGATTTATTGTTCATAATAAAGAATATCATATCTTAAAATAGTTTATCAGAAATATGCATGTACATTAATCAATAAAGTTAAATACTTAAAATTAGTATTTATAGTTAAAAACATCTTCACATATATTTAGTGAAGTATTAATAACTCTTTCTGACGATCCCTTGTACCAACTTTTTTTCAAAAGTTTGACCTACGAAAACTATATAGTTATTATATTTAAATATAACAAAAATCTACTTTGGATAACTAGGAAGGCTATTTACTGCATGTTTGGTTGTAACTAAAAAGAGTTGAAAAAGATTTGAACCCTTGTAAGTGAATTCTCTTAGTAAAACAGAAGTACTACCAAGCAAAGAAGTAGTAGATAAGCTCTGGAGCTTTGTCAAGTGCTATAAGAACTTAGGCCTAAATAGTTACTTGGTTTAATATAAT